TCTTCATTTAGATATAAATATGGAAATTCGAATGAAGTATTACTCATTTTAGTAATGAAATGAGTCACAGTCAGAATGGACACTGCAGGCCCACAAATACCGTTAGTTAATCTCTATTCGAATGTCCTCTCTCCAGGAGTCATACAAAACAGGGATCTGTGTTAACCACAGCAAAAGCCCTTGAAAGGTGAGTCGAACTCCTCGAATTCGAGTGATACGCAAGGCCATGTGGCGACTGTTTTTAATCTATTCTTCTCAGTTGCACCATTGAGATGCCAAAAATTCAAGTGTCAAAATTTTTTGACTTTCGTGCAGTGAAGGAAACATCTGCTGTAAAGAAGGCCTTCAAAGATGACCGCGACTAGTGGTGCACATTTTTCTACGGGATCTTCCTTTAGAGTGCGTGTGCAATAAACCAAATGTCTTCTACATTTCAACGCGGGTGCTTCACATGCACGTATTCATGTTAATAGACGCACCTGCTTCTCATATAATCAACACGCCAAGAGATAAACCGGGAACACCAAAGATTGTATGCCAGTAAATACAAGACCTTGACATTGCCAACTTTTACTTTGCCATCGTCCATGTTAGCGCAATCAACCACAGCCTTCACGATACAAAATAATTTCATTTGTGCAATCAATGGAAAACCTACTTTAAAAGAAATTTTTCCATTCTCTGCATTTGCTTTTGCATCCAAGGATTTTGCCTTTGACAATAGGGAGCTGGGTGCATAAGACGAGGCGATGTGAGGATATTTCGTGCCTTTTCTTCGTCTAAAGCCATGGTTGGAAATTCGCATGTGCTTTACTCATGACTAATGAGATATCCACTTACAAACATAGTTAAAACAGAAGACAAGAATAAAGCGTGCTTCGACATTTAAAATGTTTCTTCTTTCAAGAGTTACAGTTTGCTTCAGTGAAATTAAATGGATACACACACTTGTTTATGCACAGGAGAGTGCAGACCTTATTTATGTGGATGCACACGGTATCTACTTTCTGAGTTTATTTTATCCAGGCGTATTTCCCTCTCTAAGGAACCAAAAATGGAGGTAGAATAGAATTAACGACGATCCTAATGTTTTATAATTACACTCTTGTCTCCACACCTATTTATACATTTGCACCTACTCACTCACTTTATCTCTCCTGTGTTAATTATGTTCACTTCTGTCCCACAAACAAAATTGCGAAGACTTCAAAACTGGACTGCTTAAAATATGTAAGGGGTTGCAAACCCAGCAACGTCATATTTTACATCACCAGTCTTCCAAATAACCCACCTCAAGACGATGACTAATGGCGTCAATTGTGTTGAAGGTAAGCTGAATAACTAAAACAAATGTCTAGATTTTTCTACAATTTTGACTTTTAATCGACATTATGCAGGTTTTCAAGAAGTGCTCCGGCAACACAGACTGTAATGCAGTAGT